AGTTTTGCCATTTTGATGATGATGTGTCTTGAAGTGGGCCTCCTTGGGTTCCTCTTGATTGGGACTCTCTGTGATTCCTGGATTTGTGTGACTTTTTCTCTCATCAAATTAGGGAAATTTTCTCTCATTACTCGTTCAAATACATTTTATATCCCTTGTTCTTGTTCTTCTCCTTCTGGTATTCTATTATTTGGATATTATTATGTTTCATATTGTCTTGTATTTCTCTTAATCCTTCTTCATTCTTTCTGAGGCTCTTTTCATTTTCTGGCTTTTTCTGTGACATGCTCTCTCTACCTTGTCCTCCAACTTACTAATCCTATCCTCCGCTTCATCTATCCTACTTTTGAAACTTTCTACTGTGTTCCTCAATTCGGAAATTGTATTCTTCATTTCCTCTTGTCCCTTGCTGATAGTTTCCATTTACTTTTTCATGTTGCTGTAGTTTGCAGAGAGATCATTGTAGTTCCCCTGTAGTTTCTGGTAGTTCACTGTGAGCTCTTTGAACTTCGTAATAACCAGTGCTTTGAATTCACTATCTGATAGTTGATTAGCCTCTATTTCATCTAACATTCTTTCTGAAGTTTCTATTTTTTCCTTCATTTGGGGATTGTTTCTTTGTCTTCCCATTCTTTGAGACTTTTTTTGTTAGTCTCTGCTTCTAAAATTGATCTGTTCTGAAACCCTGGTTTTATGGCGTGAACTACTGTGGTATGATCCTTGTGAAGTTCAATGGTGCAGACTCCTTGAAGTTTCTTGATGTTCTCCATCTCTACCTTCTCTCACTCTGGTCCTCGTGCTGGTCCCTGCATTGGTCGCCTACCACTGCTGAATGCCCCAGCTCTAGTAGCCGCCTCCTCAAGTGCCCAGGCCCGTTACTACGGCAGCGGCACAGGGGCCAAGAATGTCCCGGCTCCCGTAGCTGGCTCCTCTGCTGCTCAGGGCCATCACAGGGGTTTGGAGTGTCACAGCTCCTGTACCTGACTCACTGGCGTCCAGTCCCATCTCTATGGCAGTGGCACAGGGGCTGGGAATGTCCCAGCTCCTGTAGCTGGCTCCCAGGCGCCCAGGCCCGTCTCTATGGTGGCGTCACAGGGGCCTTTGGTGTCCCAGCTCCTGCAACTGACTCTTTTGTTGCCCAGGCCAGTAGCTATGGCATTGGCACAGGAGCCGAGAATGTTCCAGCTCAGGTTCCTGACTCCTCTGGCGCCCAGGACCGTCACAGGGGCTTGGAGTGTCCAGCTCCCGTACCTGACTCCGCCATTGCAATTTTGAGAATGAAGAGCAAGTAGGAAGGACCACCATACCTGACTTTAAACTATATAACAAGGCCATGGTAATCAAAACAGTCTGGTACTGGCATAAAACAGACATATAGATCAATGGAACAGAATACAGGCCCAGAAATAAATTCAAGTCTCTGTGGTCAATTAATATTTGACAAAGGGGTAAGAAGCATAAAATAGAGTAAAAATAGCCTTTTCAACAAATGGTGTTGGAAGATCTGGACAGCTATATGCAAAAAATAATACTCAACCACCAACTTACAACATACACAAAAATAAACCTAACATGGATTAAAGACTTAAATATAACTCATGATACTATAAAATCCCTAGAGGAGAAATGGGCAGGAAAATCTCAGATATTCTATGCAGCATTTTTTTCACTGATATGTACCCTAGAATAAGGTACATAAATGAAAGAATAAGCAAGTAGGACCTCATCAAAATACAAAGCTTCTGCATGGCTAAGGAAAACATCAGCAAAATGAATAGGGAGCCAACCATATAGGAAAATATATTTGCCAGTGATATTTTGGACAAGAATTTTATTTCGAAAATGTATAAAGAAATCACACAACTCCATTCCAAGAAGACTAACAATCCAATTAAAAAGTGGGCAAAGGACCAGAACAGATAATTCCCCAAGAAGGACATACAGAGGGCTCACAGACTTATGAGACTATTCTTAACATCACTAGCCATCAGAGAGATGAAAAATTAAAACCACAATAAGATACAACTTCACAGTGGTCAGAATCGCCATCATAAATGAATCAACAAACAATAAATACTGGGGAGGTTGTGGAGAAAAGGGAACCCTAGTACACTGTTGGTGGGAATGCAATGTGGTGCAACCACTGTGGAAAACAGTATGGAATTCCCTCAAAATACTAAAGATGGAATTCCTTTGACCCAGCAATTCCACTGCTGGGGTTCTACACTAATTCAAAAGAGCCTACACACCCCAGTGTTCATAGCAGCACAATTCATGATACCCAAGTGCTGGAAGCAACCTAGATACCCATCAGTAAATTAGTGGATTAAAAAGCTGTGGTACATTTACCCAAGGAAATACTATGAAGGAGGAAGAAAGAAGGAGCTCCTGTCTTTCATGACAGCAAGGATAGAACTGGAGAGCATTATGCTAAGTGAAGTAAGTCAGGTGGTAAAAGATAAATACCATATGGTCTGACCTATAAGTGGAACCTAATCAACAAAACATCCAAGCAAGCAAAAAATAACCAGAAACATTGAAATAAAGAACAAACTGACAAAAACTGGAGGGGAGCAGGGAGGGAGATAAAGGGGAAAGAAGGGAAAGGGTTATCAAGAAACATGTATAAAGGACCCATGGACAAAACCAAAGAGGGGAAGATTGAGGGTAAAGTGGTGGTGGGAAAGTGGAGACAACTCTGTTTGAACAACAATAAAAATAAACTTTTAAAAAAGATGAACAAAGTAAGATAGAGATTTCAAAAAAAAATTTTGGTTTGGGTGTCCTGGAATTTACTTACTTTATTTTCTCAGGTAACTTTGGCTATGAAATTCAGTGCTGATCTTGAATGATTTTAGCAGTTTCTGCAGCTTTAGAATCATGAATTTCCAGGGATGAAGAAACCTAAAAATTGTGAGTCAAACATCCCCTCAAATCTTCAATCTTCTATGCCTATGTCAAATGTTCCCAATCATTACTTGCCCACATCCATTTCAGCTTTGGATGTGCTATAGAAAAAACAAGTCAGATGCTCTTCATTAACTAAGCTGAAGTCTGTCTCCCTCTATCTTCCATACATTAGTTCTCATTCCCCGGAGCCATACAAAATAACTTCCCTCAATATTGTATTGAATGTATTGAACTTAAATAAAATGAACAGGTAGAAACCATGCTTAACTTCATTCTGATCTTTGTCAGACTTGCATATTTTCACTGAAAACTGCTGCTAGATCTTATCTGTAGAAGTAGTAGAAGCCTTAACCCCTTTCTTATTAAAAGTTCAGAAAGAGCAGAGGATCCCATGTTACATTTAAACTCTGATTTTAGAACCTAGTAGAAAAACTCTCAATGTTAGTTACAGTAATAGTTTCTTGAGGTGTCAAATTATCCAGTCTCCAGTTATTATTCATAGTAATCTAGCTATTACAGTGAAGGCATTTTTTAGATATGACTAAAGTTCAGAATCAGTTACTTTAAGTAAGGGAGACTATTCTAGATACTTTGGGTGGGCTTGATTTGATCAGTTGAAAAGTCTAAAAAGTGGAGCTGAGGTCTCTACATGTGCACGGTGGCTGTAGCTCTTGCCTAATAGTCTCAGTCCACATTCTTAATTACTTAATCTCCAGATTGTCAACTTGCCTAGCCAGTTCCTTTAGTAGGTAAACCAATTTCTTGCAACAAAGCTATTAATATATATTTCCTACTGACTCTACTTTTTTTCTCAGAAATACTGACAGCTTAGACCAAAAGGGAGAGAGAGAAGGCATAATAAAATGAGGCTTTTAGATCCCCAAAATTCTATAAGCAAGAAAAAGCTGATCACACTAATGAACTTCAAACATGCCATCTTTCATGAAAAAGGAAGTATGGCTCAGAGCAGGGAGTTTAGAACCAAGAAGTTGGTGCAAAGGACCACAGAAGATTGTTCTTAGGTCTTGAAACCAAATAGTTTTCCTAGGTAAACTGAGAAATGTGTTTGGGATAGATGACTTCTTTTTTTCTTCCCTTTACCCTTCTCTCTTAAAAAAAGGTATCTATAGCTGTTATCTCATGACTGCCTACCAGTATATTTTGGTAAGTGATAACTTATTTCTTGAGTGTCACATGTTCAGAACTGGAGAGGATTTTTGTCTCAGAATGGATTATACCCAGGGCCTCATCCATACCTGATTTAGATCACTGAGATGGTAAGGTAATATTTGGACCTTTTGAACAGATATGACTTAGATGAGATTTTTGGTCTCTGAGTTGATACTATAATGAGTTGATACTATAATGAGTTGACACTTTTGGGATGTTGGGATAGAGTTAATGTATTTTAAATGTGGAACAGATATGTATCTTTGAGGGGTTGAGGGCAGACTGTGGTAGAGGCAGAATACTGGTCTACAAAGATGTCCATGTCCTAATCCCCAGAACCTGTAAACATGTTAATTTATATGCAAAGATGAGTTAAGATGGCCGATGGACTTAGGGTTTGCTAATCAGCTGACTTTCAGATACTTATCTTAAATTATCCACATGGGCCAAATATAATCATACAGGTCTTTAAAATGGAAAAGGAAGGCAGAAGAATCAGTATCAAAGTGATGCAGCTCAAGAAAGAAATGACCAGCCAGTGCTAACTATGTGGGTGAAAGGTGTCCTGGAGCCAAGGAATGCCAGAAGTTTCCAGAAACTGGAAGAGGCAAGGAAATAGATTCCTTCTTAAAACCTCCAGAAAGTAATACAGCCTTACAACATCTTAATTTTGGTCCAGAAAGACACATTTTGAAGTTCTGACTTCTAGAAATATAAGGTAATAACTTGATGTTTTTTTAAATCACTAAGTTTTCAGTAACTTCCTACAGCAGCCATAGGGAACTAATGCAGTATTCCTGGTGGAGCTGAAAAGAGGCTATGTCTAGGGATATAGCCTCATCAAAGCCTAAATGAGTCCCATAGGTGGCAAATGGGAAACTCTTTATTAATTTATTAATTATTAAAAAGAGATAACTTACGCGAATGTGAAGCTCTTCATTTATGGATTCTTTTTTATTGGTTTTTTTAACATCCAGGTACCTGACCAGAGGGCCAATTGTGATTCCCTAGATTATAAATAACAAAATAAAGGGCTTTGTTGTAGTTAAGATTGTCATTATAGAAAACAAATCTATTAACAAAATTATTAGAAATTTCCATTTTTATGTCTTTGTTTTGAACTAGCTTTTACTAGATAAATGCTTCAGTGTTTACTTCTTTTTACTTCTTTTAAATTCTGCAATAAAAATAGGCATTTTGTCTATATCTTAAAGCAATAGTTTCATTTCATCCCTTAAAATAACCCCTCATCAGTTTGTTAAAAGGTAGCTTGAGCTAAAATAAAAATCTGTGCTACTCAGTACTAACTAGAATCTTATTTTTAGCAATACACAGTAGTTTTAATTGACCTGTTACCCAGGAATATTTTGATTAATGTATTTTACTGATTAAAAGCCAGCATATTTTAGAGTTTGAAGGATGACCACAAACATGATCTGGGAATATTTGAGAATTTAGTTTGAGTATATTATATAATTCTTCAAAAAATAAATAAAAGATATAAAAATGGAAAATTATATCTGGAAATCAAATAAAGTATACTTTTTGTTATTATAGTAATTTAATTCATAATTTTAACTAATCTACTTCCAAATATGAAAGGAATCTACCAACCTGAATAAATACAGTAAAATATATAACTACTAGAGTAGCTGTGATAAACATTTTCTTCCTAGGAAAAAGAGACAGAGGAAGCAAAAATGCAAGTGAAAAACTTCCAGCTCCTCGAACGCCACTGTAGAAAACTATACACTGGTCCTTGATGGAGAAGGGGAAAGTCCGAAACTGGTTACTGACATAGAAGAGAGCAAACACACCTAGAAAGGGGGAAATATGTATTAGAGGAGAGGGTCATGAACTAGTAGAGATACAATGCTAATGAACCAGGTTGTACACCTGTGCCTTGAAAACTTGGCACTTGAATTTCATCACACCCATGATCTCCCATCCTTGACAGTAGTGCTTCAGAATGGTAGCTTTCTAGAGTCCTCTGTGTGCGTGTGTATTTAAAGTAATAAAATCTTGATACTTTTTGATATGAGAAATGGCATATATTTTCTAATTTTCTGATCTGCTTTTTAAAACACAGTAAAGCAACAATATTGCCTGAATAATAAAAACATTTTTATCACTCATGTTCTCATTCAGTAACCAAAGAAGGTGTGTAGTTTTCAACGTAAAAGGGGCCCTCTTGGGGACTGTGCTCTCTGCAGCATGAACAAATATGATGTGGTTGATCTGGTTCTTCTTGAGAGTCAATGCAAACAAAAAAGAATTTTGGCAAGAATTCAAGAGGAGGCCTTCTTGCTATCAGTAAGTGAAGAGTAAAGGGTGAGAGAGCTTGTTTAAAAGATGGAGATACACTCTTCTAACACTACTTATCCATCCCCAACTGGCTCACATGACTTACTACCATACTTCAGTGGTTCCTAGTGGGAAATGTCCCTTCACTAAAATCCTGGCCAAACAAGAGGTTTCACTGCAGAATAACAAATCTTTTGGCAGCATATGTGACTTCTAATGACACAGACTTCACAGAGAGCAGCCTTCAATTATAGGCATATTGATAGCACAAGACACAGTTATATTTAAATATTTTTAATTTTGTGTTGTTTGTCTTGGGTTCTCTATATACTTACTGTTCATGTGACCTGACCTCAGGCAAGGCTTTAAATTTTGTCATGCCTGACTCGTGTGGCTCAGTGGATTGAGTGCCGGCCTGCAAACCAAAGGGTTGCTGGTTCGGTTCCCAGTCAGGGCACATTCTTAGATTGCAGCCCAGGTTCCCAGCATGGGACATGTGAGAGACAACCACACACTGATGTTTCTCTTCTTCTCTTTCTCCCTCCCTTCCCCTCTTTCTAAAAATAAATAAATAAAATCCTTAAAAGTTTTTTGTCATGTATCCAAAGCCCTCATCCTCTTAATAGAAGTACTGATAGTATTTCCATTAGGAGGTTGGTATAAGGTTGACATTAATTTCATAACTATGAATAATTATAAAGTAGGCCCTTATATGTTACATGTGTTTATGAGTATGAACTATTACTAGCTATAATGAATCAGGCTAGAATGAGATTAGGTTGGGAGTGGGAGAGCTGGTTTCTGACACTGGGCTCTGTCACTGTGATGTGGTCCAGTCAGCCACGCTTGTGGTGACTGTTCCCTTAGGTGCCTCAGGTAGAAGATGATGAAGATAGTCTGGATGGTCACTAAGGCTCAACAGTGTGGAAGGAGACACAATATTAATTCTTTCCTAGATGGTATCTATTCTTGTTGGCTGGGCTGAAGCTCTGACATTAGCTTTACTCACTCTGGATTCCTACAGTGTTAGAACTGAAAAAAAATCTTTGAAATTTGTCCACACCCACCATTTTGTGTTGAGAGCAAGTATTTTGAGTAGTTAAATATCTGTCCAAGGTTGAATAGCTGGTTAGTAACAGTGCCAGGATTTGATGTGAGATTATAAATTTCTATCACAGTTTTCTTAAATCTTTTTTCCCCTTGAGACCCAAAAGTCATATTCAGAGTAAGTTTTATGAATATTTTAATATTTCTTATTCTTTCCTGGATCCTAAAACCCATCCTAAATTAATTTGAAATTGATATGCTCAGTAAGTTCTCTGCCATTTTTCCTAAATTCTCCTTGAATAATTGTCGTGCCAATATTGATCAAAGTCATTTAAAATGCTTCAAATATTAGTCAAATCATTTAAAAATATAAATGTTTATAGTAAAAAGGCAACATATATGTTATAGTTCAGTACTTAATGTTTTCTTCTAGCTCTAGAAACATAAAATAGGATAAATCATCAGGCATTAGTCAAGATATCTCAGTTTTTAAATTAGGCATATTTTATAGGGGTGATGCCAGTTACATTAGAGTCAGCTTTACTAATTAATGCTAAGCACTTCTTAAAAATAAAGATTCACCTTCTTGTCCTTGATTTCTATGCATCACATTCAACGCTCAACTGAAACCACCTATATTATTCAGGAAAATGTTTTCTAAAGTATTTGCCTTACATAGAGTACAATTTGTGACATCTCACTTTTCCTGTAACAAAAGTGTAAATGCCCACAGTTTATAATCTATATCTGACTTCAGGTGCAAAAGGGGACAAGATAGCACCAGAAGTGAAGAGCAAGGGAGAAATTCAGTTATATTTAAATGTGTAGATGTGAAAATTCTCTCTTCAATTAAAAAAAAATTACACTTTCTCAGGAATAGAACTTGATCAGCCACTAATGACTGTGAACTGACTGAAAGATTAAACAGAACATTCCTCTTCACTAGAAGGTGCCATACTCCCCTAACCAGTAAAACCAGTTATTATAACTTCACTGCTTATGCTTGTACACAGAAGAAAGGAGTAAAACAAAATTTAAAAATCAGTATGCAAGAACTCTTGGGGGCCCTGCTGTCCTTACTGATGGCTCTCCAGATCTGGCAAAAGGCCAGGGTGAAGCAGACAAAGGCCCAGTTCCACTCGTGATTCTTCCCAACAGTGGACACACCCATGAAGATGAAAATCAATGTCTCACTGACACTACTCAGCATCTTCATGAAATACTTGATAGTCGTGTAGGATGTCTGGGACACATTTTCTTCTACATACTTTTTCATCGTCACTGCACAGGCTGTGATTCTGCAAAAGAAGATGAGTCTCAGAGAGAAATGTATGATTTTGCTTCTCCCACAAAAGCCACCCTACTGGTGATGCCACAGGTATCAATCCCATTTTTATCCAGAGAGAACATCTCTACCACTCTCTTTGCTGCAGCTTTCCTACAGATTTTGTTTCTTCCTCTTCTCCCTCCCTAAGGGGTTTGTGCAAGATGAGTGAGCATGGTAGGAAAGTTGAGTATGATGGGGAAGGAGGGCACTAAGCCTTCCCACAAAACAGCAGGCAGTTCATGCACACATTGGTAGCTCAACTGCTTCTATCCTGCCCTCCCTCGTGAAGGGCTTTGTTGATCTCCTTCATCACTCTGCCTTTTAAACCAAAATAAATCCACTGTAGCACCTAGGATTAATTCAGCAAGATCCCTCATTTTCTTTGCCTCAGCAATATTTCTTGCAAGAATTTAGTAAGAAATTTTTCATTTAAAATATTTCCGGTCTAGACCTACTTAGGAAGTGGGTGGGTAGAGAAAGAACTTTGCCTTGTCTTAGTAGCTTTGATCATTTGTAAAGTGAAAAAAATAGTGTCTAGATTTTACATTATTATAATTAATTAAAACAGTTATCACTGTACAATAAAATTAACTATTTCTGCCTGAGTAGCTGAGTGTAAAAATAATGTCACAGAAAATAATATAACTTGATATAATGAGCCAAGTGAGAAGCCTCATTCCAAGACCCATACAAGAAAAAACATTGAAAATTATTTTAATTAAGAAAAAAAGAAACCTGGATTTCTAGTCTTAACCCATCTATATAGTTTCATTCTACCTGCAGGTGCTAAGCTGAGATGAGGTCTGAAGGAAACAGCAGAGGCAGACCTTCATGGCATGCTTCTTCTTAACTTCAAGATAATGAATTTTTCAAAGAAAGAAAAAATTACTGACATTAGACTTTAACCTTGAAGGCCCCTTAGATTTTCTCCACAGCAGCTTTTCTGGTCATTCTAAAATGATCTTATACTTGCTATGCTCTCCGTAGCAGAATCAGGAAAAGAGAACAAATACAAATGGTGGAAAGAGCATTTGTTTGGCAAAGGACCTGAATCAAATTTTACAAATGTTTAAAAAACAGGAATCCTCCAATACTTTTAAGAATTAGCATCAGTAGTCAAGATTTTTCCATATGCTGGTCCATAAGATGTGGTCCTAAATTCTCTTTTATTGCTATTAGTTGGTACTTGGTTTGTACTCACGCCAGAATGCCGGAGAGATAGAGAGTCTCAGCAGCTAAATAAGACAAATAGCTGAACATAAAGATGATGAGTGGTTCGATTGCAGAGATATTCTGAGTGAAACGTGTGATAAATGCAGAAACGAATCCAAAAATAATGCCAAAAAATACTCCCCCAACCCCCACAATAATGAATCGGGCACATCCAGCCAAAATGTCAACAGTCTCTATGTTTTCAAACTTATGCATCTTTGTGAAGGAAAGTAATATATTGTATAGGACCTGGACAAAAAAAAAACAGAAACATGAATTAGAAATGAAAAATACTTTATACACAGATTCTTAACTTTGCATCTACTTAAGTAATATACAATAAATGACATTATAATTAAAATTAACACAGCTGCCTAATTTTTCAACTAATTTAAATTTATTAAGTTTTTCCAAATAAGTATCATGTTCACAGCTTTCAATCACTGAGCACCTACTATTTGCTCATCTCTTGCTAAAGTCTCTGTGTCATTATTAACTTATTTCCTCTCAGCCCCATATAAACCATTCAATATGGACTTTATAATAATGAAATTCCTATAAGCATTTTTCCTTTAATGTGACCTCCATTCTAAGCTCTCTCAGCAGTGGGACATTGTAGGAGAAAGAGTTTTCCTGAAACTTTGTCATGGCCTGGGAGGTGTCAGACATGTGGAAGTGAGGACTTCCTGCAGATCTTTCCAGGACCATAGGCCCTAAACATTGTCTCTCTGCAACTGTCCATCTTTAGCCTGGTGATACATGGGGGGAATAAACCCCAGCATGGCCCAAGTGCAAAATGCCTATACTCCAGGGGTCCACCTGAACAGCCCTCCCTCTATAAGCTCCCACTTTGCAAACTGCTCCCCTTTGCCAACTCCTGAGACCAGGATCCCACTGCCCCTCTGGTGCCACACTGACTGCTCCCTGCTTGCCTGATGGAGGGTGGTCTGTTGTTTGTCCAGTAACTGCAAAACAGCTCCTGTACAGTAGCCATCCATACGTTCTCCAGTGAGATCTAAACCCCTTCTAAGTTAGTCCTTTCTGTAGGCCATCCCTCAGCCCTAGGTTACCATAGAGAGTTCCTTATATCTTATAGCTATGTCTTTATTATAGTTAATATTTTTTAAATTTTCATTGAATTTATTGGTGTGGCATTGGTTAATAAAGTTATATAGTTTTAAAGTGTACCAATTCCATAATACATCCTTCGTATATTATATTGTGTTCACCACCCAAAGTCAAGTCTCTTTCCATTACCATTTATCCCCTTTTTACCCTCTTCTACCTTTGTCCACCACCACCCTCTTCCTTTCCCTCTGTTAATCACCATACTGTTGTCTGTGTCTATGAGGGTTTTTGGTTTTTCTTTTCATATCCTTTCACTTTTTTCACCCAGATTCTGAACCTTCCTCACTTCTCACAGCTGTCAGTCTGTCCTCTGTATCTGTGAGTCTCATTCTATTTTGTTTACTAGTTTATTTTGTTCATTATATTCCACATGTGCTGGTGGGGTCCAATCAGGAAAAAGGAACCACCATTTAACCTACTTGTGGTTTCTCTTTCCTGACTGGCCCCTGATGGCTGTACTTTCCATATACATCTTCTTACTGACTACCCCCACCAACAAAAAAAACTGTAGCCCGTGTGATGCACACTTCTAATGTTCCTCCTATTTCTCTACTTATTTCGACATTTCTATGAACTTGCAGTGATCTGTTTAGTACTAATTTGTGTCCTTTGGCAAGCTCAGAACTTAAATTGAACTTCTGCAAAGTAGCAGGTAACGAGACACATTAAAGAGGTACAGTGAGATCTCTGCAGAAAATGAAGACCTTTGAGAATAATAGTCCTTAAAGAGTCCTGGGAAGTCAAACACATTTAGCCTTTGTTTCCTATGTTAAGAGAAATGAAAAAAATCAGATGAACAGAAGCTGAAACTCAAAGAAATGGGGTCAATAATTTTTCTGTTTATCTATCAGCCATCTTTTATAAAACTGGTATACCACTAGTCTCTTATTTAAGTAAAATGAAGCCATGTTTTAAGAAAAATCTTGGCTACATAATAGAAAATTGTGATTTCTGGATTCAAAATTAATCCAAAAGAAACGTAGTGGCTGTATCCCAAGTCAATGAGCTTTTTTAGTCCAATTTCACCTTTGACTTTACCTCAGAGCAACACATTCATGGGTCTCAGAAGCCCTGGGGTTGCACCTTTGCAGTTGTGCTCACATTCCAATGATTTTAGCCAAGATGAGGAGCCAGACACTTCTGCAAGAGCCTGAAAAGGCAGGTCTGAATGCATTCAGGTGGGACCCTGGAGTTTATTTGACTCTCAAACTCAGAGAAAACTGAGGGAACTCCATTGAGACTCAGAGATTTTCATGTTGTTTCCACAAACAAAATCTCTTTGCGCAGCTCTCCAGATTATAAGTAGTTATCCAGTCTGCTCTAAGGGCCTGGGAAAGTCATTCAGGAAAGTCCTGATGCTAGGTGCCAAGGTGCCCTGCCTGGAAGATGCCATAGCAGTTTAAGAAGCTCAAACAGTTTATCTAATTTAAAATACCACATTTATAGGCACAATTCATATTGACTACATAGAAAACAATTCTTATCTTTTAAATTACCAAGCTGTGGATGTCATTATAGTTGTAAAAGATTTTCTTTGGACTTATTTTAAATCACAATAATGTGCATGTATTTTTGATGCTACATCTCAAGTCCACAGTACTAATGGAAACCAACTTAAATTTCACCTGTTCAAAGTGGAGGTGCGATATTATGATATAAGGTGTATGTGTGTGTGTGTGTGTGTGTGTGTGTGTGTGTGTGTAAATATATATACGAGGTAGAGAAAAGTAAGTACAACTGTAAACCTACCTTTGCCACACCTGTCTATATTTTTTGTCTTTGTTTCCCAACACAGATAGAAGAGCAGTTCACTTCTTATTACTGGCTTTTTTGAAAGGATTCAAATCAGGAACATCCTGATAAGCACAGGGCAAGGTATGGGGGGAAGGGGCACAGAGCTTCTGTGCCCTCTCCAGTCCCACCACCCTCCCAGCATCCTTCCAGCGCCTTAAAAACCTTGTGATGGGGTGAAAGGAGCATCTTTTGTTATTCATAATGAACACTTTTAACCCATACTTCTGTTTATGCTAATGAGGGGACTGGCTGGACCAAGATAGCTTCAGGATGGGAACTAATTGCCAGAGGGACCAATTACATTATTAGAAAGTTGTAACTTTTAATCCCATCTTAACCTGCTCCTCCCCTGACTTCCAGGGAGAAGAAATAAGGTGAAGATTGAGTTCAATAACCAATGGCCAATAATTTAATCAATTATGCCTATGTAATAAATTTTCTATAAAAACCCCCAAAGACTGATTTCAGAAAACTTCCAGGTTCGTGCTGGGAGGGTGGTGTGACTGGAGAGGGCACAGAAGCTCTGTGCCCCTTCCCCCCATACCTTGCCCTGTGTATCTCAGGCTGTTCCTGAGTTGAATCCTTTATAAGAAACAGTAATAAGAAGCGAACTGTATTTCTGAGTTCTGTTAGCTATTTTAGCAAATTATCAACCAGAGGTGGGTGCTGATTTTATAGCTGGTCAGTTAGAAGTATGGGTGGCATGGATGTATGATTTATGTCTGAAGTAGAGGCAGTCTTGTGCAATTGAAATCTTATTTCAGTTGTGACTTCTGTACTACTTCCAGGTAGTTATTATCAGAATTGGATTGAATTAGAGGACATTAAATTGGTTTATGGAGAACTGGGGAATTGGTTGTTATGGGAGAAAATACCCATACTTTTGGCGTCAGAAATGGTATTGTAAACAAAACACAGTTCAGAGGTACGTCTCTCAGGAAATTGTCTTTTTTTGTTACCTTTAAAGGTACATCAAGTCTCCTAAGGTAATAATAATGGCAACCCTTTAACAGGTAGCACTGTAGAAGTTTGCAAAGCCTTTCAACAAGAAGTATAATGACTAAGGATGCCAGCCCACAAACCAAGACTTAGCAGAGTTGATTTAAATGTGGTATTTTTTCTTGATCAATTTTATTGAGGAATAATTTACATACGATAAGCTGCATCTAAAATGAATGAATACTGACCATTGCACCCACCTTCAAAATCACCATCACAGTCAAGATCTAGAACAATTTTATGAACCCTGAAAAGTTCTTCTATTCCTTTCTCAAATCCTTACATCAGAGAGCCACTGATATATTGTTGTTACTATAGATTAATTTGTATTTTATATAATTGAATAATAAAGTATGTGCTCTTTTGTGTCTGGCTTCTTTAACCGAGTATAATATTTTGGGGACTTACCCATATTGTGACAGATATTAGTGATTCACGCTTTTTATCACTGAATAATATTCCATTATATGGCTATAGCACATTGTTTATCCATTGACATCTTGAAGGATATTTGTTCTCTGCTTCCCTCCACCATCCAGTTTCTACTATTGACATATTGCTGCTATAAACATTCATAAGTCTTTTATGTTGATTCATGTTTTCATTTCTCTTTGATATATACCTATGAGTAGAACTGCTAAGTAATATGACAGATACCAGCTAAAATCTTAAGAAACTGCTTTCTTAGTACATTCAGGTGGCTATAGTAGAATATCATTAACTAGGTGGGCTATAAACAACAGAAATTTATTTCTCATAGTTCTAAAAGTTGATGAGTCCAAGATCAAGTCACCCATAGATTCAGTGTACTGTTAAAAGCCCATTTCCTGCTTTAACTTAGACAGCTGTCTTCTCACGGTATCCTCATATGGCAAAATGAGCAAGGGAGCTCATTGTGGTCTCTTTTATAAGAGCACTAATCCATCCATGATGGCTCCAATCACATGATCTAATTACCTTCCAAAGGCTCCACTCCCAAATACTATCAGGTTGGAGATTAGATATCAATACATAAATTTTGGGGGACACAAACTGACAGTCCATACTAACTACCAGATTGTTTTCCAAAGTTGTTGGATCATTTTCCATTCCCACCAGAAATGCATAAGACTTTCAGTTGTACCTTATCCTTCTCAACACTTTATGTTGTCATAGTCTTTTTCACTCTAGTCACTCTAAAGAGCGTGTAGGGATATTTCATTGTAACTTTAATCTTCATTTCCCTGATTACTAAAGATGTTGAGCATGTATTCATATGATCATTGATCACTTGTATACCATCTTTTATGTTCAAATCTTTTATCCATCTTTGAGTTGTTTATGTTTTT